TGTTTGTTTGGTGGGAGGTTGTTGCTAACACTAAGTTTTGTGGCAGATAAACTTAACTTTGCCTTTGGTTTACACTGTACACATAATTTCTCAGGCAGTGTTACATGCATAGCTAGCTTGCTCATCATAGTTTGTTGTGGTATGGTAAAATAAAATAGCATACTCAACCACACATTTTGTAACAAAAAATCAGGGCAACTACACAATCAATTGGTCTAAAAGTTTCAATGTTTTTGACAGCCAAAGGAAAACAAAATATGCCAGAAGGTCAGTTCAAATGTCCCTTGCAAAAAGAAGTGGCAGAGTGGTAAGAGCCCTTGCCTCCCAACAGTGTGGCCCACGTTTGAATCCAGACCCAGCATCATACATGTATTTTTTAGTTATTATTCCTTTTGCCAATTTTTTGGAATGATGTTTCGTTAGGTTGAAACAAAACAAAAGTGCAGCACTAACACTTCCTATACATATGAAATTATATCACATTTTGTACCTTGTTGCCATTGGCAACTCCACTGGCCAAGAACATGGATGTGATATCTGTGAAGTGACCAGCCTCTTGAGAATAGTAAGGTGGAGGTGCATTGGGTGGGGGAGGAGTGTAGTACGCAGAGCCATTCTCTGAAGGTCTGGAGGGTGTGGCTTCTTGAATGCCAATCTAAAAGGAATTTGTTAATTAGTATTTAGATAACATAAGAAAAATATTGTATGTCCACTACCAAGTTCTATGATAGCAAGCAAAAATTGACTGATTTAGCCACAAAATCTGAGAGCAACTTCCAACTGTACTCAGTTGCAAGTATGTTTGTTTCACAAAGCAAGTACTTAGCTTCCAAATTGAAGGGTGGTGAATGTAGATGTACCCAAGAATTGGAGGAAGCAGAGGCCGTTCTTGCTTGTAGGTTGGCAGCGGAGGGAGGGGGGGGGGTAAGACATTTTATAAAAGAGGGAATGTTGATACCCCATATCTCTCCCCAAGATTCACAACTGTCGTGTGTCCTAAATTCATTTAATACCAACTGCTAGGATTTTTAATGTGATACAAATACCTCTAGAGACAGATGGCAAATACTACTATCAAAATAATCAATCAGATCAAATTCTGACTTGTCAGTGCTCCTTAAAGCCAGGTTATAAACACCAATGTTGTGATCCATAGATCGGGAAATGGTCAGGGGAAAAAACATTCTCCAAGTCAAGGAAAAGTCAGGGAATTTTATAAATTTTGCATCATGAAAAATTCACATTTTGAAGAAATGTCAGGGAAAAGTGAAATAATTTAACACAGCTGATTTAATACCATCAAGGGCTGGACAGAACATTTGGGGTCACTGTGATCTCAACTATATTTTTCCTTAATGAGGAAGGAAAATTTGTTGAAGACTTGTGAGCCTTCATGAATGGGCAGAAAGGACAACTGTAAGTTGAGGCCAGAAGCCACTACTAGATCTGACATTTTGTATTTATTTGGTCAGGGAAATATTAATTTCATCACGGAAAAGCAGGGAATTTTGAAAAGCAAGGCCTGTGGCAACCATGACTGTAGATGCTTGTACATGTACATGCAGTTCAAGAGCCTTGAGCTTCACCAAGGTTTTTGTATCATGAAATGACAACACACAGAATATCTCTTAGAGGTGCAATCTCTTACCTGGTTGGTCCTCAAGTGAAATGGGAAATTTATATTTGCTGCAGAAGGTCTGGTTATAATCTGTGAAAGTATTGATCAAAACAAGCTTTATTTTCACTGTCCAGAAGTAAGATCCTTTGTAAACTAGCAGTGTTTGTTCTGTATATATGCATCAGCGTGATTCAATATGCATAATAATAATGTCTGTCAAGTAGTGATACTGATTACTAAATATATTAATATGAAAGACGATGCTCAATAAAAAACATTTAATGGTTCACTTACCAAGAAAACCAAGTGCGCAAGAATAGAGATTGACCAATCAATTCCATTGACAATTTGCTCTCTGGAAACAAAAATAAATCATTCAACAGTGAAGCATTCTTTTGATATCCAATGACAACTGAGCAAATTACATACCATTGCTACATGAACCCTTCCTGTCTTACCCATCCCTAAGTATAATCTATTATTAAGCTACTCAAAACTTAAAATCTCCAGAAAGTGCTTGCAAATTAGTTGACATTTGTAGGTGTTGGGTCATGGTCACGCGCATTTTCGAAGTTTGCCCAAATCTAGGCAGGCAAAATTGGTCTGAACATGTAAGTTAGAATGCAATCAAAGTTTGAGACTTGCAGAAACTTGAATGTCAGACTCATGACTAAGGTGTGAGAATAGCCCACTTTCGATATATTAAAATTCAGCTTGATAGTGAGGCCAAGAGGACACAAACAAAAGAAATAAATAAACATGGTCATTCAATTTCCTTTGTTTGGGTCCTCTAGGCCTCATTGCCAAGCTGAATTTTAACGTGACGAAAACAGTCTATTGGCAGGGTTTTTTTTTTGTTGTTGTTAAAAAACAATCACATCTATGGTCATTATATTGGTATCAACATCTGGGCTGGATACAAGATTATAGAGAAGAGTATTTGAGATATGGACCTCCAAACGCGTTCCTCTGTAGGGGGTTCCGGGGGCATCCTCCCCCAGCACGTTTTTAACCTTTAGGTCCTCTCAAATGAGATTTTCGGCATTCTGAGGCAAGTTAGGGTGTTATTATGTCTCATTATAATTCTTTTTTTTTATGTAACACAAGTATGGCTACCTCTGTTTCTAAAAAACATCAAAGAAAAGAATCTTAACTGGGCAAGACTGCTTACCTTTCCCACTTTGGTATTTTGTATGTTGCAATTACAACTACAATTGGCCCAGCAAGGAACCTGTAAAACAGGAATTCTATGTTAATATGTATTTCAACAAGTTCGAACAGACTCCCACTTAGATAGTTCATTAGAATCTACTAATTACTATATGAAAGACACTGATAGCAAATTAAAGCCAATCAAAGAACAGAGTACAGTTAAACCTCTGGTGTGCATTCACTCAGTACATATTTTGGTCTAGAATTTAAGCTAAGGCAGTCCCTTACACTGTGACCACACCAACCAAGGCCACCCACCAAAATTCTTCACAAATTGATCTGAGAAAAAAATTGATGTTCACAATAGATTTGCGACAAATTTTCGATCTGAGCATGCCGCACACTACAGAAACAACAAATTTAGAACCACTTTTATTGTTTTAACATGCAAATGCCATTGGTCAATTTGCAAAAACAATACTTGGGTAGCCTTGGTCAGGGTAGTCGCACTGTAATAGGAATACGTTTTGCACATAGTAAATTTCAATTTCTGAGAAAAATTTGCAGTGCTGCATGCAATGCACTCCAATTCTGGTTGCCACAAGGTCTCTCAGGAGGTGGTAGTCTGCTGCATTTGCAAGACTACAATGGCCATAGATATGCAATTAATCAAACAATTATTAAACTACTATGTGTACTTACCATCCTGTGTAGAAGAACCAGAATGGGTAATAAAAATTACACTTGTTTGGATAATGCTTCAGGGTGAAGAAAGTCCCATAGCAGAACCACAACCAAGCCTGAAAAAAATATCACTAAAATTCTTAACATTACAGTTCAACCCCTATTAAAAGGCCACCCTCAAGGAAAAGAATACTGGCCACTTAAAAGGAGTTGGCTTCTTAATAGAGATAAAAACAGTAGAAAAGCTCTAAAAGGATTTTTTTTTTCAGCAGCATCACTATAACTTGTACAATACTTAAAAACACAAGTACAGACAATGCAAACTTTTGCAAAACTTTTCCTTGGATGATACTGTTCAAGAAAAAGTGAGATATTTACAGTTGAGTATTCTTGAACTCAAATGCTGATAAACTAGCATTAAAAAATGGATAATCAGTCTCAAGACTAAGTTCTTAAATCTATCCTAGATATCACAAAAAAATAAAATCAGATAGTAGTTTTATCACTGATTGCTTCAAAGAAAGTATGAACATCTATACTTAACATTCAATTGTGAAAAGAACCAGTTTAGCCTTAACACTGAATGGTGACTTTGTTTGTTGCAAATATTTTGTCTTTCCCATAAGTTTTTGCAAGCCATTTTTACTTTCTCACACCCTTTTATTAAATGACTGGCTACCAACAGAAGAGGTTTTCATTCTGCATTTCTGCATCTACATAACATTGCCTACTTTCTTCTGCATTTTGTGGTCAGGAATGCAACCAACAAAGAAAAACACTCTGAAGCTAAACAACCAGGCCCTAGCTCAGCACAAGCCCTGGGCGACGCCTATATGAAAAGTTTGAGGATACTCATCGCCTTGCTTAGGAGTGTAAATCACATATTTTGGTCTCACTTGGGCTGTCCAGGATGAAACTTCACTATTTTTAGCCATGGATGAAAGTATTCTTTCAGGTGCAAGCGAAAAATAATAAAAGAATGCTGTCATTTCAGTAACTTTAAGGGGTCATTTGCCTCCTTTAGGGGTTTAATTCAAATTTCCAACAAGCAACCCGGACTTTTTCAGATGGGAGTCTTCCCAACCCTGGGTACAACCTCCACAGCTAAGCAACCACACTCAACTGGTGAAAAAACTAAAAATAATATTATCTGTAGCTCCCAGAATTGAGAATGAGGACTTCAAAGTATAATAATATTGAGTTAATTTCTATTATGCAATACTCACAATGACTCTCAAGATAGAAATCCCAATGCCGGCAGGACTCTCGTAGATATAGAGAACTTCACCCGGATCAAACACCTTCAATGTTAACAACAGATTGTTCTCAATAAAATGAACAGTTAAAATAACACGACAAAGTCTATTGAACAAGTCATTAGCTAGGGAGTTTCAATCAGTTAGCCTTGATGATGACAGCAATGCACAAGAACATGTGGTGTAACTAAAACAATTTAAAGTTATATTCAATCATCTGGAACATCTTACAGTGAAACCTAATGTAATAAAGTCCCTGATGCAATAACCTACTAGTTCTTCAGCCCAGCCAAATTAAAAATAAAAATGTATTCAAAAGCAGAACCCTGAGATAACATTAACCAGTCCCTTATCATGACATCACATATATATCATCATCATCATTATACCACTGAAACTAAATATGAGAAGCAGATAAACAGAAATCATAACATTTTTAACTTCTACTAATTTCCATTGTGCAAGACTGCAATTTCTCGATCAAATGCTCATTACATTATACACTGCCAGAGGTCATTGTATTAAGATGCTGAGTAGATTTACTGTAAGGCAAAACAACTATACTTAGACAAAAGTAGGATATAACAAAGATCTTGTTTTCTCTAAACTTCATAATTTGAATATCATAAGTTTTTCTGGACACCAACCCTTGTTTTTTTCCCATTTATTCATGTAGACCCCTAGTAAATGATCGATATTCTACTTACAGCAACTTCATAGAAGAAGAGGATGGCAAAACACACTGTATAAACTGTACCAAAGATGCTGAGCTTGATTTGACCTCCAGAACTGATGCGCCCTCTGCGAACAAATGATTCAACCACTTACTGTAAGTTTGTAGATCTATATCTAATATGTACTTTACTATTACTGTGTGTTAACCAATTAATTCTCTATAATCCTGATAAGCATTCCCACATTGTCTCACCAGAATTTGTGCAATTATTATGAATGAAAATCTAAAAAAATAGTTTCATTCAACATTTCACAGTGTTCATATTCAGTGTGTGATAAAAGCAGTTAATTTGCACTCGAGAATCAAACCATAACACTGCTCAAGACTGTATTACATTACAGAGACTTGCATAGTTTAATTTAAATAATTTTGAGCTACATGTAGTATGTGGCATTTACAACTCTTTCTCCTGTACTTTTTTGTACCTTTAACACATGAAAATTTGAAGAACATGTAGTACGTACAAAATGTAGTTCATGCTGTCTGTATTTACAACAAATTTCTTTGATCTGAAGGAAAATTATTTAATAAGTCTAACTTGGTTTTTGTACATTTTGTTCATTCTGACTTCTACAAACAATGTAATTTTCTTCTTGCCTTGTTACTGTCCATCCTTTAGCCATCAAAATTAACATGATCAGAAATACAACATGAGAGATGAAGTGACAGGCACGCCCTGCAATGAGCAATAAAGTTAGCGTGTCTATAAAATCAAGAGAGCTTCTTTAACAAAAGTAACACTCTGCCAGTTCGAAAAAAGTAAAAACCATTTTACTTATCAGACCAATATAATCTTGATAAAACAATAACTCAACTACAAAAATTACTTACAACTGAATATAAAACAACATACTGTAATTTACTGCTTGTCACAATCTACCAAATTTTCTACAGGCTTCATGGGCAATTTTTTCAAAACTTCTTCAAAATTGGCCACATGCACATGAGACAAAGTAGGGTAACACACAACATTGTGTACTAGATTTGAAAATACCCTAAGTTATACAATAACTGATCTATACATTACCTACTACAGATAGTCCATACGTCTCAAAGCCACTCCTTCCAAATTTGACATAGTAAATGATGTAGAACAGCAAGCTTATAACTGAAAGAAAAAACATTTAAATTATTCAACTTTTAATTATGACAAATATTGCTAATTTGTTTCTCTTTGCAAATCAGAAACCTTCACTACCTAGATTGAGTCCTTTTTGCTAAAAGTCTAGGAACTGTTGAAAAGGAAATCCTGGATAATTTATTGATCTAGCAAAACTAATGTTTGATACGCTTATTTGACACATAGACTGAGCGTTCGATACACACAGTATCTCACATTCAATCAAACTTTTTGTTGTAGTGTACAAGCAGTTGCTTTTTATATGCACACCAGCATCTTGTGAGTAATATATTCCATGCTAAACACTTCAGTGATTATTGAGAGAAAAGAGATGCATCTCAAGAGAAATGAGACGAGAGGTGGTAACTTAAATCTGAGCGGTACTCTAAATTCATTTATGATTATCAAAAAGTTTGTCTCGTATAATACCCTTGTAATTTGAGTTTCCTCAAAAATTTTCCAAGAACCTTCAATTGCCCAGTAAGTGACAGACAAAATTAAATAGCCGACTGTTATATTCACTAGTCCCTAGATATCAGACAGGACTTTCTTTCTTTCTGTAAATAAGTTTTCAGTATTCTACTGTATACTAGGATAGCCCTTCCTATGCTGATGTGTACCATTTGCAACTTCCCTCTGACATCTCTTCTATAAATTTACTTGCCCAACATCAAGTGAGAACACTTGAACAAATTACTGACATTGCATCATGCCATGATCTTACCTTCAAAGGTCATTGAGGTCAAATAAAGCTTGTATGAAAAGTGAAAAAGCCTGCGACCCACTAAGAGATCTGCAATTAATTACAGTAAAATATTGTTACATACATTAGAGTTAGGGTTGGTAATTTAAATTAGCAAAAAAACATCTTAAAAAAACAAGAATTCTGATAAATTGGCATTGTTTCATACATTGTGTCTTTTTGTGGTTGAAAATCTTTTCGATCAAACTGCTTTTCATGCATTTTATTCTTGTTTAATACTCTGGACTGATTCTCAAACTCATATTTAATAAATCATTAATAAGTTTAAACAAAGGAAATGATAACCATGAAAGAATGTGGATATGTGATCTTAATTAGCATGGATTTTTGTTATTTTATTTTTCGTAAGTTTTATGTTTCACTTTAAATATCAAGCACTCAAAACTGTTTCAAACACCTCAAAGTTAAACGAATATATGACAAGACATTTGAAGGCAAATAATTGTTGTGATAGCCCTTATAAGAAATGACTGAATATTTCAGTACAGAAAGTTCTGCACAATGGGAAATTAAATTTTGTAAATTATTAATTCATTGTCGAGGAAGAGGTTGTTGTTATTCATCGCGGTAGATGCAATAATAACATTGTACTATTATTTGTCTCTTGATGTAGTCACTTGAGATGTAGATTGCGATGTTTCAACTGCTTACTGCGAGTCTTCTTCAGGCGATAAGGTCGACTGATTGCATGGTATCATTTATTAATTCATTTCTTACTTGCAACATAAATGCCCAGCATCCACATCACAATAAAGGCAATAAAAAAAGCTATGTCCATGGGAAGAATGACTGAAAAATAGAAATAATGAAGAAATAATTTATTATAATTTTATTAGTTTTACATAGAATATTTTACCAATTATGCAGAAAATGATTGCTCACATCATAGAGAGGACCCTCTACTAACTATGACCAAATGCATACTCTAGACCTGTGCCTGTTAACCCTAACTACAGGTAACTTACAAAAGAATTCTCTGTAGCAGATTGACCACAGTAAGTGTTGTAGATGACTATTCCAAGAGTAACCAGGTGCAGAATAAATTTAAAATTGGATCANTCTTAAAAAAACAAGAATTCTGATAAATTGGCATTGTTTCATACATTGTGTCTTTTTGTGGTTGAAAATCTTTTCGATCAAACTGCTTTTCATGCATTTTATTCTTGTTTAATACTCTGGACTGATTCTCAAACTCATATTTAATAAATCATTAATAAGTTTAAACAAAGGAAATGATAACCATGAAAGAATGTGGATATGTGATCTTAATTAGCATGGATTTTTGTTATTTTATTTTTCGTAAGTTTTATGTTTCACTTTAAATATCAAGCACTCAAAACTGTTTCAAACACCTCAAAGTTAAACGAATATATGACAAGACATTTGAAGGCAAATAATTGTTGTGATAGCCCTTATAAGAAATGACTGAATATTTCAGTACAGAAAGTTCTGCACAATGGGAAATTAAATTTTGTAAATTATTAATTCATTGTCGAGGAAGAGGTTGTTGTTATTCATCGCGGTAGATGCAATAATAACATTGTACTATTATTTGTCTCTTGATGTAGTCACTTGAGATGTAGATTGCGATGTTTCAACTGCTTACTGCGAGTCTTCTTCAGGCGATAAGGTCGACTGATTGCATGGTATCATTTATTAATTCATTTCTTACTTGCAACATAAATGCCCAGCATCCACATCACAATAAAGGCAATAAAAAAAGCTATGTCCATGGGAAGAATGACTGAAAAATAGTAATAATGAAGAAAAAATTACTTCACCATTACAGAAGAACACATCAAAATTATTACTAACAGTGATTCTCAATGATCTGTACCTCTCCTTCAGTAACTTTTATCAATAATTTATTATAATGTTATTAGTTTTACATAGAATATTTCACCAATTATGCAGAAAATGATTTTTCACATCATAGAGAGGACCCTCTACTAACTATGACCAAATGCATACTCTAGACCTGTGCCTGTTAACCCTAACTACAGGTAACTTACAAAAGAATTCTCTGTAGCAGATTGACCACAGTAAGTGTTGTAGATGACTATTCCAAGAGTAACCAGGTGCAGAATAAATTTAAAATTGGATCACTGCATGTTACATCTAACACCACTTTCTCATTTGCTGCAGCTGTTATTGAAAACTTGTTGAATGAAAATAGCATGTCTTTGTAGTGATATCTACATGTACATTGTAAGGCAGCTGAATAGAAATTACAGTGGAATCCCTATTTTTCAAGGGAAACGAAAATTGGTTCAAAAAATCGGATAGTTTGAGAAATTGGGGGTAAAATGACAGTGTTCGACTGAGGAGAGGGAAATGACTTTTGCTTCGGGTTATCGGGAGGTTCCAAACAATGAGGGTTTGAGAAATCGGGTTTCCACAGTACATCTCTACTTGCCAAGATTAAATTCTAAAGATACATACATCTTTCATCTGCAGAGAAGTGCTTTCTCCAAAATGTTTCTCCATTTGTCATTTCTAATCTGTAGTTCAAGAACAGTCCCTAAAATGCCACAATGAATTGAATTTATTAGCATGACCTCAACTTCCAACATTTTGATCAGCTTTATTCCACATTAGAGTGTAATGAGCACTTTTTTTGCATGACTGAAAATTTCAATCCTCTGGGTACAAGAACTCACAGTACCCACCTTAGAGGAGTCACAGTTACTGATGGCTAAATACCACCATCTCTCACGATTTGACACAAATCGCCGATCACCTTAAAAAGAACAAGGAAAAAAGGTGTTGACAATAATATATGGCTGTGCAAACATCATTTATCACCATCTTAAAAGGACTAGGCAATCTCAATGCTGATCATAGAACTCACCAAAATATCACAGAAAGTGTTAAAACTGTGGAAAAACTCAAGCAAAACTATGAAAAGACAAAGATTTTGCATGGTTGGGCAAAATTGGAAAAGGATAAAACAGTTCACATTTGGCTGGGCTTGAAAAACATTAGCCTTATATTTATTTGACTTTTCAAGTTTATCTTCATTTGTGTGAAAGTCAGGGCTCAAAAACTGACTTTTTGAGTGATAGCTTTAAAGCTATTGAAAACTTACAATTAAATAAACTGAATTACCTAAAATACTGGGACCTAGCCCCTTTGAGAGACTGAAACATACTCTTACCATTGCAGTCTAAATGTGTCATAGATAGCTTTTCTTTCTTTGTACATCCTGACCATATGTAGTTGGTCGTGAGGTTCACAACTTGGTTATTTCCTCTATAAACCTTGTCTTCTTTATCTATACATTTCTGTTGAATAACATTGGGATAAGTGACTGTTAACTGAATTTTGACCTTGTCACAATATAATATTACCTAATTAGATATTATAGTGTTTAGTATTTCTGTACAATTTCTCCTCTTGCTGAATTTTAACAAGCTTGAAGGACTAGCAGGGGTTTCATTTAACATTCTCAGCAGGAGGACAACTGGTTTTCAAAGGTGGGCAAAACTTCTGACCTGAACTTCTTTAAATAAGAACAATTATTCACTAGATAGTTAAAAATAGTTGGGCAAAGTTGTTCTCACGGCCAGTCAATTTGCCAGGTGCATGCCTGGCCTTAAATGAAACCCCTATGGACAAGGCAAAATACAAATGTAGAAGAGTAAAAGTACACTGCAATAAACTCCATGCCTACTTAAGTGTTAAATTATTGCGAGACCTAAAAATTGCATGGGTTCCTGCATTTTTTTCTTAATCTTTGAAAAACTTACTTGGGCTTATTTGTTCCAAATTGTACTCAAAATCATTTGATTAAACATAAAAAAAAAACATATTCTCAGCATGTGCTGGATGAAACTGTGGTTATTCATTTTGTAAGACATCACATAAATTGTGGTTGTTAAATATAGGAAATCACTACCCAGCAGATAGTATAGCTCCAACAATCATCTTCTCAATAGAACGATTTATCTGGTAAAATGCAAAACAGCTAAAAAAAAAATAAATAAAATTTATGTAAAATAATACCTTGATGGTTACGCTAAAAATCACAGTCAATATACAAAAATTATTAATACTGATGTTAATTGTGAGGCCAGCTTATTTTATATATAGAATGATGTATTTTAGCAGCTGGGAAAAACTGATTACTATGCAGCCAATCAAGAGTTAGCTCACATGCAATAATTTTCTGTAATTACGAGTGGTATTATCTGAAAGAACTGTTATTCTGTCTTGAAACAATTATTCTGCTGTATTTCATTATGAATGAAGGAATCAACTGAAGAAAGCTGTTTTTAGGAAGCTAGTTTCAATTACCTTAATTTTGTAATTTAAAATGATTTTGCCATAGGTTAATAAAAAGCAATATTTGATGATTCCAAAACAGTTGTTTTTTTCATAAACCTTTTTGTTAAGGTGTCTTTCTCGTTTTTCTTTGGTTTGCTTCATTTTTCAATCTTCCCTACTGAGGCTCAGGGCTCGAAATTAACTTTTTCGTTTGGGAGCCAGCTGGCGACTAATGGAAAAATTTTAGTCGCCAGATCGTAAATTTTGGTCGCCAACTTATTTTACATATAACCTACACAAGAACAAAATTTTATACGTTACTTCGCATTCAAGAAAAGTCACAATTGAAGAGCGAAAACAATTAAAAGCAACACCAGTAACACTTAGTTACAGAAAGCTACTGTTGTTCTCAGGTGATATGTCTCTGGTCCCAAGGTGATGGTTGTCTCCATAGTCATTTTAAATGAAGCGAAGCATAAAACGTTTTAAGTCTGTGGTTTTCATTGTGAGACAAACATGGTCCTTACATATTTTCCCTTTGCTACTTCTTCGAAATGCCGTTCTTTATTTTCGACTTGCTTTCCTCAACGTCTTTCGCTGCCGACAAACAATGCCATGCTTGAATCTTCATTCCCCGTACGTAAAGACTCACGTAATTCCTTCAACTGATTGGTATCTGCCGCCATTTTCGCAGCAAATGAAAAGCACATGGTGTTGAAGTGCGCCTACGATCCTAGTTTCGGAAGAAGCC